TATTTAAAACATGAAAGAAGAATCCTTTGATAACAGCCTGAGTTCGGGCAAGAGTATCACGGTGGTCACATGAACTTCAAAAAATTGTTCTCAACGTTGCTTGACTGAAGAACAAACTACTCGCTGACCATTTTACAAAAATCCTCCACGATCATCTTGCCATGAATGAGTTCAGCGCGAGTTAGGTGCCGCTTCCGCTTAATTAAGAGTCGGACTTCGTGGGCATAAGGTGGGCTGTGATATTTTGACTTATCCACTCTACAGCCCAGACCTAGCCCCGAGTGATTATTATCCGTTTCAAAATAATTCAAAAAAAGAGCCGAAAAGTAAAAAATGTATGCCCAATGATGAAGTAAAGGTGACGCTTCGGCGTTTGTGTTGATAAAGAGAAACCCCTTTTTTGAGGTATAAATAAATTAATTGAAAGATCTTGGAGGTGAATTTATTAATAGGGAGAAATAATTTTCCGTGAACATAAACCATTTTCCCTTGTACAACAAATATTGCATAAGAAAAGAACAAAGTCGAGCACTTTATATACGTTGTTATTGTTGCTGCAGCTTAGAAATTTTCTCAGATTTGTAGTAAATGGAATGGGGTGTCAGATAAGTTGGTTTTATTGGACATAACTTAAGATGGGCAGGTTAGATTGAAGTGGTTGTCTATGAGGAGGCAACAAAACATTTAGCCAAGACTAGGCTCAAGGCTTTCTCTATCCTTAAACTTCTTTATCCATCGACTTTGATGCCTTTATAAATTTCATTAAATAATAGTACTTGATGCCTGTTATCGTAGACGAATCATCGAAGAAATTAGATTTTATATAACGTTTCCTAGCTCTGCCCAAAGACAGGGCCGTAGCATGAAGGATGAAAGGCTTTCTGGAACAACTCTTAAAAGAAACGGCCAATGGCTTGTTAAAACTCTTACAACCTTGAAAATGTCCTCTCTTACGAGAGAGCATATTTCACATTTTCGAATCCTATTTCGGTCAAGTCTATCTGCCTGCTCATAAGTAAATTCTTTGAGTAGCAGTTTGCTAATGCTTTCCCTAACGGCAAAAATCTACTGGTTCGCGCTTTGACCGGCAAGTTCGTTTCCCTTACACTTTTCCTTTATATATACCTGTGACAAGGAAGCCAAGTGTTTTGTTTGGCGACAATTTTTGAGTTTATTCTAAGCGAACCAAACGACAGCAACAGTCAGTAGTCTTGCTCGTAAGTTGGGTTGCAAGTTAGTTAGATGGCCTCCAGCTTGAAATGCCTGGGTGTCTTGAGAACGTATCTCTGACAACTCTTCGATCCGAATATATCACAAAACCGTCGACTGGTATCTAGTGCAACACCTATACTAATCATCGCTGATCTTTAGATGATCGTTTGATCGTTGAGAAGGTTTGTAACTGTCCAACATTTTAGCAGCCAAATAAACTTTCCTTTTCAACAAGACCAATATGTATTGATGAGCTTGAACTAAATTTGTTCTAGAAGCCTAGAGGCTACTTTCATATCACATACAAAACTTCCGTTGTGGTCACAATATACTTTCCTGTTGGTCTTCAAAACTGTTACGAAGACTTCTATATAAAAATGGAGAAAATTTCATCTGCCGCAATATCGAATTGAAATTGAACTTCAAATGCGTTTATTATATAAATAAAATTTAATTTTCGATTACTGAATTTCGATATTCACATAATATTTTTGCAAATATGGAATGTGATTTTACGGCGTAAATACCTAAAAATATATTAATAATTTAACGGTACATTTGAATCTGAATATACAAATGTATTTATATAAATGCTCAATTAAATTAGGAAATATTTTCAAGCAAAAAAAAGTGCAAACAAACAGACACAAGCACGAATGTACAATCATGTAATTGGCACATGCAATTTCTGATAATTATAATTCAATTTTATTATATTATTTTCAAACTAAATATAGATTTGTTTAACAATTTTTGTAAATAACATGCCCAGGCATGACCAAATTAAGTCAATAGGAATAATAAAAGGTTGAACAAATTTTCGAAAATATAAGGCTATCGGCTATTTCGTGGTTCCAAAAGTACAGAGCTGCATTTTGACATCTGTCAAACTTAGTTGTCAAACCAAAAATGTTTCGTTTTGATTATAAATCACTCATTTATGAAAAGGGATCGCGATTTTTCGAAAAAAATTTCCTTAAGCGGCGAGGCACATTTTTCGATACGCATTCGAAGCTCCGGGAATCCTCAAATGATTGTAGAGAAACCGTTACAACCAAAAATTACTTACGGTCTGAAACGCTCTTTGGTCTGGAGGTGTGATTGAGCCTTACTTCTTTGAAAACGATAAAGGCGAGACAATCACTGTTTGCTTCGAGCATTTTGATGCTCAGAGGACTTGGAAAATAATTGATCACAACAAGATGCTGCCACATGCCTCACACCGAAAGCGAATATGGCTTTATTGCAAGAGAAATTTTGCGGTCGCGTAATCTCTCTTCTTGGCGATGTAAATTGGTCACCGAGTTCGTGCGATTTGAGACCGTTGGACCATTGTGTGGCTACGCGATACACCGTGTTTATGTGGATAAACCTTTGAAATTCGTCAAATTATAGCCTTTGAGGTAGTATGATTACATTGGAGAGCCGTAATGGCAGCCCGACTGTCAGTATATATTGTTAAACAAACGAGAAATCATAAGCCGACTTACGTTATCGCGGTTTAGAGCCGTCGGTGAAGATGGCTACGGATCTATGATCTAGAACTGTTCTGTATGCAGTTTCCCCATTCGTGCCTCTTTGGTATTTTTGATGAGAAAGTGTTGTCCTCGAAGTAGAAAACAGAAGCCGTGGAGTCCACCTCATTTAGAGAGCCTAGTTTTGGGCGTAGTACACGGTTCCTCCATGGTTGAGATGCATTAAGTTTCATGACTTTGGAATTTATTATAGGGGTTGAAGACAGCTCACCTGTAATGAGTGTGGAGGCCGTCCGCTGAACTCTTTTCAGTTTGCTCTTATATGCAGCCTTGTCGAGTGTTGGCCACTAGTCAGTGACTCCTTAGAATAATATGGCTTTGCACAGCCGGATCCGGCGATCGCAGGAGTAGAGTGCGGTCGTAGCTTTCTTACACGTTTCTATCGTGTTCCGGTGGCAGTTGAGTTTGTTATCTATGATAATGCCCAGAAATTTAACTTCGCTAAAAACAGCGATCTCGATATCTTCGAGGAAGGGTGGTTTAAAAGCAGAGTGAAGAATGCCAGTTCGGTGCTTAAGGGATGTACATCCAGACCTCACTCACTACACCAGCTACTTACTATGTAAAGGGCATTTTGGAGCAGATCGTTTAGGGCCTGGAGGTGTTTTCCAGTGGCTGTGAGAGCAATGGCGTCAGCGTTTTTTAGATTATGAAGCAGCATGTTGGCTGTGAGACACCACAGAAGGGAAGAGAGAGTTTCCCCTTTTTCCGTCTGGTAAATTACTCGCTTCCTAATACAGCGAAAATTACTCTGTTTACTAATAGGGATTTCAAAAGATTCACAACCAACGCTCCGGGACCCATTTCTGGGGTTATAGATATAACTATCTCCCTCGACGTCGAAAAATACTCCTAATCTATATTGTTTAAGAGCGAGATCTCTCTCAATCCCCGTCACAGTTTTGTGAAGAGCCCTGTCACAGATTTGTAGTGTATGCGTGCTGGATTCCCAGTAGGCTATTTGATAGGATGTGAGCCTTATTGGCCGAAAATCTTTTGGAGTCATATGACTTTTCCTACCTCTCTTTAGTATGAAGATTACTATCTCTTTTGTCCTCACATAGGGAACGCAGACGTAGAGACACAGGTTGGGTAAATACTAAATAATTAGGGGGACCGGATGGTGTAGTGAAAGGCTGTAACATATAACTGTGAAATAGTAAGGACACAGAGAATGTAAATGAAGAGGAATACTGTTATTAGTACAGGGTTTTCCAACAAGAGGTAGTAAATATTTTAATATTCAAGGAAATGGCACGTAGGTAGCGCTATCTTGTTGAAAGTAAACGAGGTTCGCAAAAATACCATCCAATTCCGGTCATAAACGACCAATTATCATCTCTCTATAGCACAATCCATTGAATTTCAAAAAATTAATGACCAATGACCCCGCCGGACCATAAACCGCATCAAACAGTTACATTTCGAGGTTGTAGGAACTTTTCAACAATAAATCTTGGCGTTTCCGAGCACCAGATGTGACAGAATTACTCATTGACGTAGCCACCTAGGTGGAGAAGGGCCTCAACAGTCAAGATGATTTTGTGATGAAATTCCGGATCATTTTCCTACATTTCATGGACCCAATCAGCAAGGACCTCCTTCTTGATGATCGGCGAGGTTAAATTCTTGTGTAAACTGAACTTTATAAGCCTCAAGTACCAAATATTCATGCAAAAAACGGTGTAATGCTGTTTGAGGGAACGTTAAGGAAGGGCGAAGAATGAACGAACCTGAACTTTCTTCAACACTTTGGGCAACAGCAGCAATATTCTCAGATGTACTTGAGCTTTTCCACCAATTTCTGTATTGCGGTGCTTCTTGACGACCTAAAAATTTTTTTGTTTAACGAACCTTTTATGCTAGATTTTCGCCATTTGTATAGTGAATTTTAATAATTTCCGTATGTTTTTGAAGCGTGTATCACTCCATTTTTATTACTGGCGTAGTTTCCACTTTGCTTCTACCGAAATTATTGAACAACTTATGTAAGTCTTTCAGTAGGATCAAGGCCAAACCTTTGCAGTCAGATTGGCCAAGCTGTGATAGTGTGAACCTAGCATTATTAGTAGTACAACATTATATGGAGTTAACTATGACAACCCTTACTTAATCAGTTACTTCTATATATGTATGTTTCATATGTTTAAACGCAAACGAATAAAACACTCTTAATTGAGAAGCCAACAATAGCATACAAGCTTGAATTTAAAAAAAAAAAAATCGTAAATATAATATTTAAAAAACACTTACCAGTTGAAGGCTTTTGAGTATAGAAATCCAAACTTTTTATCTCCGATGTGTCGACGTGCGGTGAAAAGCCCTCATACAAATCGGTCTCCTCCTCAATGCCGCTCAATTTATCGGCCTGAGCTGCCAAAGTGTCACGATTGTATGGCATTATTCTCTTTTTTTTTTTCTCACTAAATTTGCTTTTTAGACGATTTGCTGATCACGATTATTATGCGGTTGCTTAAAAAAATACAATATATATATGTATATATATATATATTTGTTTTTTTCTTTATATTGTAATGATGGTTTGCAATTATTCACACTGCGTTTACTTTTACTTAGCTTCACCGTTCAGCTCAACACGACTTACGCTCTTTCACCTCTTGCCTGTTGCGTTGTTATCCTCTTTGGCCTATGCTTATTGAATGCTATGATATCTATGTATATGTGTGTATTACTAGCCTTTGTTTTGTAGTACTTTCGATTTGACTAGAAATGTTTACAAAATTTTTTTAATTTTTTTATTTAAATTCTAATTGAGTAAATTTTTCGTTTTCTCACACAAATTTAAGTTGTTTATATTATTTAATTTATTTTTTTTTTGTCGATTTAAATGCTTATGGAGATAGAAATACTCCACGGCGGCGTGTTGAAAAATGCAACATTATGATATTTTCAAATTTATGTCAAATCCACAAAAAGCATAATCCAATAATGCCACGGAAAGGAGGTTTACTTTGAGCGAACCTGGAATGTAAAAAAAAAAAAAATATTTAATTAAGGATTTATAATAATAAAAAAAACTTAAAAAGTTGGGTGTAAAACCTATAAATCGGAAAAGTATATTAGTTTATTTAATTATTTAAATTAAAGTAAATTATAGTAAAAGTTGAACATATTCAATGTAAAACTTAGTTGGTTGCTTGGTTGAAGTGGCTACCGGGCATCAGCTCGCATAGGCCACAATGCGTTTCCATTGTGATTACACTAACCAAGATTCATTGAGTATACTGCGCCCGCGATCCTGTTACCTAGTTTTGACCCATCAGTATTCTAATGACCCCCACGCTATATATATACATATATATATATACAACTAAGTTTTATATTGATATATATAGATAATTGGCGCTTTGTAACCGAGCTCCTCCTCCAATTTGTGGTTTTGCGTCCTGTTTTTTTTTTTTTTCAAAAAATGGAGTGACCTACAGATTATACTAAGCCGCCTTCGAACGGCTGATGGTTTTTTTGTGAGGAGCTTTTGATTTTCATGCCAGAAATACGCTCGTAGAGGTGGATGCTAACCACTCGGCTACTGTGATCCCCACCATATAAACAAAGTTTTCAAAGCTTGTCGCCCTTAGAGACTAAGTGTTCAGGTTCCTCTTCTTGTCTGTAACGTCTGTAGAAGTCGTTGAATGGTACGGCCGATCTCGCTGTGTGGCTGCCCAATAGAATATACCCTATATGCAGACCTCTAACTTTAGTTATCTTCTTTTTTCTTTAGCTCGATAAAGTATTCTGTTCCATGCTGGCCACATTACACGCATTGGGAGCTCTCCATCTTGAGTTAGCTTCTTTGGTAAATTACTCTGGAAAAGAGAGCTTACAAGTGGAGAACGGCATGCCTAAAATCTTCCATAATGGCGAAAGTTAAAGGGCAGTGCCCATACTTGTAAGCTCGTCTGCTCGATATGTTACTTTTTCCTGGCGCAAAAACCTGTATAACTGTTTAGCCAACTCGTTGAGTGATCTGCGGCAATTTCCTATGGTTTTTGGTTTTACTCTTACTGATTTCAGGGGTCTCCTCTATTCGAAAATATATGAAAAGGATTTTCCGATAGCACCATTGATAGTTGAAACAATTTACATTCCGCTTGAAAAATACTGCAGTGCTCCGGTAAACGACAGAATTTGCAAATACCAAGATCCCTTTAGACCCTGTTGTCTAGTTTTGACTCATCCGCTTGCTGTTGTAATCCTGACCCATTGGTTTCTAACCGGTATAACTACATTGAAATCTGTCCCGAAGTCTGCGAATGATATGCAGCCTTCTCATCTTTGCTGGTAGACAGAACCAAGATGATTTATTACTTTCCATTCGGACGCGTTTTGTAGTTTTATCGCGCGGCGAGCAGAACTATGCAGCCCTATACTGTCAATGGGAAGTAAATCTAAGAGCTAATACACCGAAGCGCAGCCCACTTCATTCTATGAAATTTGTTTCAGACGTATCGCACTTCTGCGCATAGAGCATAGAGTGCAACGGACGCCTAACACATTATATCGTCCGAGTTCTGGGACCGGCTTAAATTCCTGTTGAGAGGAGTTCCAAGAGCATTGGTGTTGAAAAATTTGGAATTTTATGTATTAAAGTGTAAAGAACATGTTCTGTATTCGGAGGGTTTGTGCCGAATCCAGCACCATTAACCCACTTTTCTATCCGCTTTAGACCGCTCTGCAGGACATTACATAAATATTATGGGAATTTACCCTTCACTATGACCGCCAGATCGTCTGCATACGCTATGACCGAGCAGCCCAACTCTTTTTCCAATCCCCTCAACAGTTGATTCGCTGGCGAGACCCATAGAAGAGGCGAGGAGACTCTACTTTGTAGAGTCCTAACTGAAATGGCCAAGCGATCTAAGATCTTACGACCCTGCAAGCAACTCAAATTTCAAAAAAATCAATCTTAGAATATTTTCAAAAAATTTTAAAATTTCAAAATCCATTTGAAATTCATTTCAAATCTCCTCCATCTCCCTCAGCAGTTGATTCACTGCCAAGACCCACTTTGTGGGGTTCCTTGGTAGATATACTTGAGTGCCGATAGATCTTACGACCCTGCATCCGAGCAATTGGCGTATGTGAGAAATAAATATAAAACTCAAATTTCAAATATTCAGTCTTAGAATATTTTCAAAAAATTTTACCATTTCCAAATTCATAAATCCAGACATTAAAGGCTAAATATATTAAATTAAATAATATTTGTTATTATTATTATTTTGCCATTTTCGCTGCGTTGAAAAAAGTTTCATATAAACGAAAATTCGCAATTTTAATATTCACGAACACTTTTTCCGAAAGCCAACTAACTGTACATTTTCGTAAACAATTTCATTTCAAACTTTCAAAAAATAAATAATTTCTGCAGTAGATAAAAGAAAATACTGTACTGGACTAAGAAAACATACACAAGATATTTTAGATTTTCCATAAGCAACTAAAATTTAAAATTTTTTTTTTCAGCGCAGGAAAAAGACACACAGTCAGATAAACGTAAACAAAAGGAGATGATATTTCCAAAATAGAAAAGAAATTTAAAGATTACAAATAGTAGAGAAAACTCAAAACAACAAATAATAAATGGCGGTAAAATAAAAATAAAAATATAAATAGTTTGCGAAATAAATTGTTGAAAAATTACTATAGAAGAAGATTTTCGTTTCACAGCAAATTAAACGTTCAACGCTGCAGGCATTTTGCGCGAGTGTCGAGTGACGTGCGAATCCGAACACTTGCATGCCTTAATTTTGCAATTGTTGTACGTGTAAGAGGATGTGTGACGTCAGTCATACGCCAGGTTGGGTGTGATTTTTTCCAAATATTATAAAAGTACACAATTTATTTGAAAATAAGCATACATATATACATGTACTTTGTGTTCAGAAGATAAAATCGCTTAACTCAAGTTTTAAAATTTTTGTCAGAAAATTCATTAAATCTTAAAATTTGTCTGAATCAAAACAATAAATATTAAAAAAAAATTAAATAAAAATAAAAATACGCTCAGTAAAGAAACAAGGTTTTTAGCCACCGCAATCAATATGTATTTATATAACAATATATTTTCAGCATTTACCGGCTGTTTAAAAAAAAATTAAAACACCGCAAATACCGAAAAGCAAAAGAGTTAAAATTTATAATTAACATAACTAAAGTTACACTCATTTGTACTCAACACTCAAACAAATTGCTCTCTTTACGGTTTAACTGACTCACTACGTGCTGCTGCACTTCACTTATGCCTCTAAAGGTGCGATTACTTATGAGCGTATACCTTGGCAAAATACCAGCTGATACGTTCAACCTCATTTGAGCGCATCGCAAAGAAAAATATTTTTGTTATAAAGCAAAAATAAAACTTTATATTTAAGAAAACATTAGCGTAAGTTAAATATTAAAAAAATAAAAGCTAATAAAACAAACAAAATAAAATAAGATGGAAATAAAATAAAATAATAATTAAATATAAATCGAATTAAATAAAAATAATAATATGAACTTACACTAAAATATTGTCAAAAATAATTAAATAAAATATAATATAAAAAAATTAATATCATAAAGTAAAAATCAGATAAAATAAAATTGAATATAATAATAGAAAAGCAAGATAAAATGAGACAGAACATCATAAAAAAATATAATAAAAAAAAAATATATTATAATAAAGCAAGAAAATGAAATGTCATAAAATTAAATACAATAAAACAAAACTACATTACAATATAGTGAAAATAAATAAATATAAATATTAGAATAAAAATTAAACAGAATATACTGAAATAAAACAAAGCAAAATAGAAGAAAATGTAATAAATGAATGTAAAATAAAAAATCTTAATTGAAATAAAATAATAATAATAATAATAACTGGAATGCAATAATTAAAAAAAAATAATAAAAATAAATTAAAAAAATTAAAATAAAAACTAAATTAAATAAAAAAAAATTAAAATAAAAAACTAAATTAAATAAAAATAAAAAAAATTCAATAAAAAACTAAATTGAATAAAAATAAAATAATCAAAATAGAAAACTAAATTAAATAAAAATAAAATAATTTTATAAAAAATAAAAGTCTTAAAATGTTTTAACTTGAGGAATATTTTTCTTTTCAAAGAACACAATTTTAACAATATTATTGTAAAACAATAAATAAAAAGCTCAAAGTAGTATTTACTAACTATCAGGCGAGAAATATTATAGATAAAAGATAGAAGCGTTTTTGTGATGATCCATTCAACGATGATGATCTATTTCAATTATTCCAAGCCGACTCCGAACGATCGATGGATTGTTTGGAGCCTTTTTTTCATGTTCGGGAAAATACATTCGGAGGGGTTGACATTCCCTGCCGAAGGACGACCGACCGTAATATGAAAACTTGATTTTCTATAATTTTAGATTTTTGTCAAGACTCGAACCTTGACCTCCCGAATGGCAGCAAGCAATGCTTTCCACTCGAATACCGTGAAAAAAAAATAAATAAAAGAAAAGCAGACAGGTACGTAGCCACCAAAAAAAATGTTTACCAATTCGGTCAGAATTACGAGTAGAGTACATTTGCGTCTATCTGAAACTAGCCACTGAGTTTTTGAGACATTTCAACCAAACTTGGCACACAGAAGCGCTGGTATTTCATCAGATTTAAGAATTTGGGCCATAAGTCGAGTATCGAGAAATAAATATCGTCACCGAAAACCATCGAAATCGAAAAACTATTTCATATAGCTTCCCTACTCCGATTTGATAAAAAAAAAACGAGGCTTTGGTCAGATCTCCGTAAAGAAACCATGAAATTTAGTATGCTGCTTACGTACAAATAAATATTGATTTGGAAAATCGTCGATCATGTAGCCCCTCCAACCAATTTTTCGGCTAAGAGCACTTTGAAACGAGCATGAAGCTTATAAAAGCTAAGATAGCTCTTTCAAATAATAATGAAAAGAACTTCT